ATGACCAAACAGATAAGAGAGGCGAGCCTTCTCAATATCTGCATATGGCGAGCCTTCTGCATATGTGGTTTGAGCACTGAAAATGGCTACGGAGAGATATGGTCAGATTCATCACAAACAATCCATTGAATCATGTGCTGGTTTTGCATACTTTTGACTGGCTGTTCTTGTGCATTCTCCGCAGCATTTTTACTCTTCCATCAATGCCGTTATTCCAAATCCAATGAAGGGCGAGCCTCTTCATTTGGAATCCAAAGTGCCATCCTGAGCCTCAGCCTTGGAGGTCAAAGGCAAGCCTTGAGCTTCAGGCAAAATCGTAGGCTCACTCTTGACGTCATCGCTCTCGTACTCTGTCTTGTTGGCGTCCTGGGATGTGATCAAAAATGTCTGAGGCAACAATGTTTGGTTAAGGAACGACGGAAAATTGTGCATTATCCCAAAATGAATTTATGTATAATATATTTTATGCATTTATTTGACTTTCTTTCCATCCACACACAAAACCTTGAGAAGACAAGAAACAGATGTTGGGCTCAGGCGCATCTGCTCGTCCTCGCTGGTCGCATGGTGCTCCGTTGCATCGCTGGTCCCATCTTTGTGGTCGGACTCATCATTCCCATGAACCTCCTTGCGCTCATCCTTGGTCCTGTCCTTGCGCTTTTCCATCTTCTCTTCATTCACTTCCCCAGGAGTGTCAGAGTCTTGCTCTTCAACCTTCGCAGGAATGGGGCGGAATTTCTGCTCCTTGACATCCTCTTCTTCATCAGTATCATGGGTATGGTTCTTTTTGTGTTTTTTTTGCTTGCGAGCAGCCTTCCCCAGCATGTCATTCTGCAAAACCATAAGTGCTTGTCGGTTCTCGCAGGCTGTTTTCATGGCATTCTGCGCCAGAGTCACCAGCTGTCCATGGGAAAGCTCCATGGCTGTCATCCTTGCCTTCAAAACAAGATTCTCTTGCTTCAAGGTTTCAAGCTGATCCTCTTTTCTCCCCCCCTCGGTGCCATTCTTCTGAATAGCCTCATCGGCAAGGCGCTTGGCCTCTGTCATGTATTCTGGTGGTCCGGTGATGCTGAGGCACCGTTGGCCCCATTGTTGGCGCCACCTCACCGAGGCGCTGCAATGTGTAGCTTCGAAAATTCTGGCTCTGTCTTCAGAGGTTAGAGTTCCTGATGAACCTTTCAAAGGAATCGGTCCCATATGCGCATCATTTGCATTTGGGCGGCCCACACCAGAGGAACTGGATTGGCCGCCGCCGCCATATCCATAACCTGCATGCCATGATGACATGGTGGAAATTCAATTTCCAAGTCTGCAGGCGAGCCATGCAGAAAGGGGGCGAGCCACCCAAATAAAGAGCATTGAAACGGCAGCAGATGAACATTGAATTCCAGCAATAACACATGTGCTAGTTGAATTGCGTCTGCAATGTTTGGAGCCTGCAATGTTCTTCAAAAAAATGCAAAATTTTTCCAAAAACATCAGACATAAAAAGTCATCGTGCAGGAGTTAAACCCAGTTAGAATATGGTTATAACTGGACTTAGACTGGTGCCCCTAACCAAAACTATCTCTGGTTGTAAATGCTGAAACTCTCTCACAACTAGTTGCTATCTCAGGCGCACTTGCAAATCAGAAGGTTTTGCTTAGCCAAGTTGTAATTCTATTTGACGTGTTTATAAGTAGGCATGGCAGAGTTATAAGTACTATATATAAATGCAAACCACCAAAAAACATTTAAGTACTGGAAGTCTTCCCGGACGGAGGAGGGCAAATGGCTTGGACCCGCCCGAGTACTGATGGTCGAACATAATGCAGTGTGGCTGTCACACCTGACTCGTTTATACCGAGTAGCGCCAGAGCATGTCAGAGTACTGTCATCCCATGAACAAACCATGGCCAAGGAACTCCAAGAACTGGGCACCACACCCATTCAAGGGGCTGGAGTCTTCCAATACCAAGACCAAATCCCAGAGGGAGTAGTTCAGGGGAGTGGGGATAATATCCCACCCAGATCTCATGAAAACGTACCCGAACTCATCCCGGTCCCCGACACTGGAGCCCAATCTAGCCGTCAGCCGGAAAACCGGCCAGACTCGATAGGATCAGACCAACCCGATCAAGAGCCAGATGCAATTCCATCGCGTCCGGAAAGCCCGAACACAGGAGACACGTCCATGCCTGATGCATCTCAAATCCCAGTTCCTGAAGAAGATGACGACTCACTAATGGCCCTGAATATGGTGCATGACCATTGGCAGGTCACTGGGAACCAACTCATCAGACACCACAACAACCCACGAATGAGATACTTTCACCCGACCGATGACCCAAAGTGTCCAATCCCACTCGAAGCATTGGAGGAGACACGCACGACACGTGGAAAACACCACCATGGAGAACAATTCCAACATGTTGATGTATGGAAAGGGTCAGTCGTCAGTCACTGTTGTTTGGCCGATGTGTGGACTGGAAAGACCGTGTTCCAGATCAATCCACACAAGTATCAAACGATGAAGCAGCTCGAACCCATCCCCACCTGTGAAGAGAACCGACCTACTGGGGTGGAATGTGAAATATTCTTGACCACTGCTGAATTGAATAGATGCCAACACATAAGTGCAAAACATCAAATAGCCCTGATTGCCTCTGCCGCCAAACGCCAGAAAGTAGAAGTGAGACTTAAAGAACTCACTCCCGAAGAACGCCGGGAATTCGAACAGGCCAAAGACAAGGAGTTGAATCAATGGATCTCAACGGAAACGATCAGACGAATCTTGCGAAGCCAAGTTCCTGAACATCAAATCCTCCGAACTAGATGGATCCTCACATGGAAGCCATTAGATGAACAAGCGGCCACGGAAACTGGGAAGACACGAAAAGCAAAGGCTCGTTTGGTAGTTCTAGGATATGAAGACCCAAACATAGATAGCGTGCAGCGGGACAGCCCAACCTTAGGAAGAGATAGCCGCATGCTTGCTTTGCAAATGATTGCATCCCAGAAGTGGTCACTGAGATCGTTCGACATTGCAACTGCCTTCCTACGCGGAAGCAAGCAGGATGACCGCATCCTCGCGATTGACCCGCCGGCCGAACTTCGACAGAAGCTTGGACTCAAGAGCAATGAAACTTGTGAACTCCTTAAGGGAGCCTATGGTTTGGTCAATGCACCCCTCTTGTGGTATGCCGAGCTTCGAAAGGCGTTACTGGGACTCAATTTCCAAGTGTCTCCACTAGATCCATGTTTATTCATACTCCCAAAGTCCCAGACCGAGCGAAAACAGGGGGAAGCATGTCAGATACATGGAGTTCTAGGAATACATGTTGATGATGGAATTTGTGGAGGGGATGAAGTCTTTGTGAAAGTCATTGAAGATCTTGAAAGAAAGTATCCTTTTGGAAGCAAAAAACAAAAGAACTTCGTGTTCACAGGAATCCAAGTGAATCAAGAGCCTTCCGGAGACATCAAGCTCAATCAAACTGAATATGTGAAAAACATCCCACCCATTGAGATCCCTCGAGAAAGAAGAAAAGAAAGCAAAACCACCGCAACCACTGAAGAGATACAGTCCCTAAGAGGACTCATAGGAAGCCTCCAATATGCAGCAACCAACACTAGGCCAGATGTCTCATGTCGTCTCAGCTTGCTCCAAGCAAAGATTCCAAATACAACAATTGGTGACCTTCTTGAGGCCAATCGCCTTCTAGAGGACACTAAGAGACATGCCGACGTCCAGATCCGAATCCAGTCACTTCCATCAGAAGAGATTAAGTTCATATCATTCTCGGACGCAGCATTTGCGACACGAGAACGAGCCCATTCACAGAGAGGCACATTCATTTTGGCCACCACCCAAAAGGTCGAAGAACCCCAAGGTTCCAAAGTCAGCCCTCTTGTATGGAGTTCTAAGAAGATCCAAAGAGTGGTTTCAAGCACACTTGCATCAGAAACATACGCACTCTCAGGAGCTCTCGACCAGTTAAGTTGGATTAGACTGCAGTGGAGCTGGATGTTGGATCCTCAAATTGAATGGAGGACACCAGCTGAGACCTTGGCCAGAATTCCATCCGCCTATGCTGTGGTTGATTGCAAAAGCTTGTATGACCTCCTCCAAAAGACGGCGGTGCCATCATGTTCTGAATATAGAACTTTGCTAGAAGCCTTGGTGATAAAAGATCGTCTTAAGGAAGGAATAATCATCAAGTGGGTCCATAGTGCCGCTCAAATGGCTGATTCGCTGACAATGGATATGGACACATCGGTCTTGCGAACATTTCTCCAACACGGGAGATGTATGCTTAGGGACGTAAATGAGGTTCTCAAACAGCGATCAGACAAGCGCCTGAGGCAAGCTTGGATACAGTCATCATCCCCTGAGGAATCTCAAGTGTGCCAAACATGTGTGGGAAGTAATCCCTAGGATTACAAAAGGGGAAACACTTGAAGAAGATGAGCCCATCCATAATGTTTGCCGCCTATGCACTTGACCAATTGCAGAAAAGAATTAAGTATAGATAGTTTTTAGGAGTGTTGATTTGTGCCACCAGCCATCGACCGTTCGTCACATGCCACAGGGAACTCAGCCGAGTATAGGGGATGCATGGCCAATGCTCCTTTGGCTCTAGTCAGGGGGCTTTGGTGGTAGGCGTGAGGTCGCGCCATAGGGCTGTGGACAGTCACCGAAAGCACGGTCGAGGACGACCTCAGGAAGCTCAGAAGGAAGAAACAGCGCGTGGCCGCGCTTGCAGCTGTGTTGGTGGGGAAGTGGTCGGGGCCCGCGCCAGTGTGTGTAATACACAATAGATAGATCCTATTATACGAAAGTGTGAGAAACACCTTACACTCGCTGGGTTTTGTCTCTTTTGATTCTATGTGCCTTCCAGCCCTGCCGCCCACTTTCGCCTCCACCGTTCGGCGATTCCTATCCAGGATTCCCAGTCTCCAATCACCCTGGGCAGCTTCTGAAAACAAACCAACAAATCACCCAAACATCGCCGAGAGACACACTTTCAGCATGTTTACCAGGGCTTGGTCTGAGGGTAACGAACGCAGCGTACTGGGTGGCAACCTTTGACATCGAGCGCCCAACGGCCACGTCACGGCGTTCCAAAAGGGACCGCAAATGGGGTGGTGTTGGCCTTCACCGATTTCGGTGGCCCAAAAAAACATGTCCGGCAGGCGGTTCGCAAGAATGGGAGTCCGTCGTCCGTGTCTTGTCAAACCTACCTTCAGGCTTGCTTCATTAATTTGGAATAATTTGGGTGCAATTAGATTTACAATTACCATAGACCTTTGACCTTCACCCAAAAAACAGCAGTCCTCCAATCTTGAACCCGTCCCTCAAGCAATCAGACCAGTTTCAGCGAGGAAACCGACATGGTAACGGTGATCGCTCGAACATCCACTCACAAGACCGGAGCTCTTAGTAGAGTCGAAGTCTAGCGCCTGGATTCAAGGGTTCAGAAACCAACTTCAAACACGATGGGACGCAAATGTACACAAAGTGAGATATATTCAACAGCCTCCTGCAAACCAACATGGGCCCCCCAAAAGAAGTTGTAAAAGGTATCTTCCAGGAGTTGATCGTCCAAGCACACGGGAGTTTTCAAAAGTTACACTTTGATGTTGTCATCTTGATGAATTATTCGTTCTTTCTGGACGTTCTGCGTCACTCCAATGTCCTCGCACGTTGCTCGGACGAGGCAGCTAAGATTAAGCATGTCCGAGTGAACGATGAATCCCATGGAACCTGTAGGTACCCTACCTGGACCTACCTTCATTCCTTCCTTCCCATGGATGTCGAATGGAGATGCACAAGTCACAGGTAGAAAAGGGTAGTTTATGGGTGACCCTTTGGATGATCTTGCTAGCTATACAGGTACCTCTCTTGATTTAATGGCCAAAAAGAACAAACGAACACAGAACCTCGCGACAAAGAGGCGACTGCAAATCCCTCTGAAGCATTCGCACGCAGTCGTAACCTCCTCCCAGACATTCATCGGATCATCTCTGGAACCCGAGTGATGCTGACCAGCGTTCCATGATGTACGATACAAGTCCTTCTCTTCAAACAAACAATACAATTACTGTATATATAGGATCCAAGAAGATACAATTAGTGCTTTTGAACGTTGCTTTTGAAACACATATACAAAGAGATACATAAATTAAAAATAATGTCATGATCCATGATAAATTACCATAAATTACCCACTGCTTGACATTTCCAGCTCTCGCACCAATAAGACATGCCCGGTTGCAGCACGCCTCCGTCGGAGGTTCATGAAGGAGACCACTCCAAAGTGGCGAAGAATGGACTCCACCTGCCGCTCCACGGGCATCTTGCTGAGGATGTAGGAGCTCCTTAGTCTCCCAGAAGATGTTTTTTTTCATGGTTTTTCAGGATGAGAGTAATAAGGAACATGTTTTTGGGACACGGCACTCATAGTTTGGCGGGTGTAACCCTGGATGGTTCAAAGGAAAATGTATAGGACACCCTTTGTCTCTTTTGGTTTGCAAACATGTGCAAACCATGGTTTCCTGTAGATTTTCCCTTAAACCAATCATGGATAGGGGTCAAAACAAACTGGGAGCTGCAAAGGGGTGCATATATGGGATAAGACGTCGGGCTGAACCTCAGCAGTATATGGAGATATGGCGCCTGGGCATCCCAAGCGTACGCTGAGTTGCAAACTAGCAAACATATCGAACACCGATTTCATGGGAAAGAACTGGGGTCTTTGTGGGCGTTTGAGGGTGTTTGCTATTGACCTACGGGCCATCTCTAAGATATTAATACAAGGTTTCACCCAGACCATCCATGTACGGACTAGTTCTACTTACATACACTCACCCCATTTGTGACCCCAATGTAGCTTTTCCAAAAATGAATGGTCTGCCCTAGGGATCCAAGTACCTTCTCAGAAGGTACTTGGACCCTCCAAACCCACATAACAGTGTCTCTACTCACCTTCTGAGAAGGTACTTGGATCCCTAGGGCTGGGAGAGGAGCCTAAACGGCCATCAAGGATGGATCCCTGAAGCTTCCTCGAGACATCGATTTTGTTTTGATCCACCAGAACGATGTAGATCTTGGATCTGCAAAGAAACCCGGATCAAAAAAAACAGCCACCCCAAGCCATATGGTTGGTTTCCAAAATGTCTTTTCCCAAAATGATGCGTTCATCGCAATTCCATGGGGGCCCGCTTCTAAATCTCCTTTAAACTCCAACCACACTCAAGCCACAGGGATGTTAAACATGAAGGCATGTCAACTGCAAAAACTGTGAGAGGTGTCTAGCGCCTAGCGCAGACTTTTCAGGGGCCTGTTGAGCTGCTGGAGCTGTTGTTGCTGCTACTGCTGCTGCTGGACTTCTGCAGTTGTTTCCAATTGTTCTCAGAAATCTTCAGAACGACATAGGAAGGACGTAAGAGCTGACTCAAAAGATTTGGATGTTGGATGGGCAAATAAATAAGTCAAGAAATGGACCGTTGTCTAGCGCGGTGCTAGCGCGGATCTAGCGCCAGTCTAGCGCAAAAATATCCGTCGATTTCTTTATCCTGTCAGATTCTTATTTCCTGCTTGCTTGTCTTCTTCTTCTGCCATTCTGCTTTGTTTTTATGTTTCTTGTCTTGCTTCATCTTATTCCTGCTCTCTGCTTGTTTATTCTTTTTCCTGCTTGCTTATCCTGTTATGAAAAAATCTAGCGCCAATCTAGCGCTGCCTTGCTGTATCACCATATTCTGCTGGGGGCCCGCTTCTAAACGAAGACTTAAAAACATGTCTCCAACCTTAAAGGTTTACGTTTATCTATATTTTTTGAGTAGGGCTTTTTGAGCGCAGTCCATATACTCATCCCTATATTACAAACTAAGAGTGGAATAATGTGGAATAAGTCGAACTGTGTCAAGTGTGTGTTCTTTGCATGGCCGGTCTATGCATGGCCGGTGCACTTTGTGGCCAATGACAATCACAATGTGGCCATCGTGCAGCCAGTCCTTGTTCATTGTTGCTTGCAGCGAGCAGTATGTAAGTGCACCCTCCGACATCCAACGAGCACCTTAAACTCTGGGGCGTCCCCTGGGGCGTCGGAAAAAAAGCCACATATATACAGCATACAAAAGGAAGCCACGAGCTGCGCTGCTACATCTGAGATGTGCTCTGGGTGTTCCTTGTCCAACCTGGGGTCACCTCATCACCATACCACAAGGTCAAGGACCTCATGTGAACTTCATGAAGCTGGCCATCAAGTTGAAACCCCACGTTTTCCGCTTTGTGGTTCAGACTGCACCTCTCTTCAAGACGCAAACCTCTTCCATCAATTCTCAACCTTTTCGGACTTCCAAGCGGTCCAAGCGTCAGCCCGGCGCCCGCCTTCTTCGCCAGCTCCTGCCGCGCCTGCCGCAGCCGCGCACGGGCAGCTTGGCCACAGAAGCCACGGACGAAGGAAATGTGATCGCCTGAGGATGGCGGAGGTGGAGACATCAGCTGAGGCTGTGGTGGAGACATGTCTGGAAGATGAGATGAGCTGCCAGGCGGGCAAGGCGTTTAGATGGTGATTGTTTTGCAAAGTTCTCTCTCTCTCTCGTGTTAATTAATACTATAGAGATAGTATCATGTCTTTTCAATGATGCAAGAATGGCATGAGCTGCCAGCTAGGCAGCTAGGCCAGTATGCCGGAGTCGGAACTTGCAATCTTGGAAACTGGTTTGAACGGGAGCAACCCGAGAAGCAACCCAACAGCACAGCATTTGCAGACTTGAATGTGCCCTAGGGCTCCTGGCCCATTCCTCAGGTTCGGTGGTATTCGACCCCGCTGGCACCCACCCACCCCAACCACCTCAGGAGGTGGGCCAGGAGCCCTAGGGGTGAGCAATTGGCGAAAGGCACACCGACCCCACTGTCAATCACTGAAAGGCGATGTGGCTTCTGCTCACCGCTCAGAGCTGAGGATTTTCCTCAACAGCCCTAAAACCAATGTGTGTGTGTCCACCCCTGGACAAAGGGTTTTCCACCGCTACTCCTTCCACAGTTTTTCAACCACCTTTTTCAGTCACATGCAGGGGAACTGGGCACTCTGTGACTGACCCAGTTCAACGAAGCTAGGTCACAGAGTGGGATATTCGGACTGATCATCCGAACGTACCTGCGCCAGTTTTGAACTTTTGACCAAGCCGTTCCAATCTCTCTCTTTTGCTTTCATGGTGGTTCCACGATACCTCCCCAAAACCCCCCTTGCCGCGTTTGTCTTGCAGCTCAGCCGCGCCGACCGATCGTTCAGCAGACTTGACTAACAACTTGTTGAAACACCTACAAGTCTTTCGGACTCTCCACCATGCATTTCTGTCACCTTCCTTCCCAGCGTGGTAACTGAGTTCACTGAATACAAGTGTCAGAGTGTGTTTCGCTCAGCCGTCCCACTCGGGTGCTGAGTGTGATCCCCGTCACAGGGGCGCTGTTTTTTGCATCGGAAAGCAACCAACCTAACATGCCACCTCTCACCGGATTTCCACTGGAAGTCATTGACACACCCTTTGAATCAACAGATGCATTGGCCGCCGGGCCTAAACACGGGAGTCCCTCGACAGCCGCCGGGCTATAAAACGGTGCATTGCTTAACCCCCAATGAGGCAGGTTCCCCCCCCCCCCCCCCCCGCTGAGTTCTACTCCCTACCTATTTGGGGCAACATAGGTAAATGGTACTCGACACACTTGTGTGTCGGTGCCTTTCCCTGTGTTGTTCCTTTTCTAGTCTTTCCTACCCGGGCGGTCTAAGACTAAAGTCCCGCTCCCTAACTATTGCACCTAATTAAGACCTGCTAAGTAGTCAGTAACTAATTCTTGTTGAAACCTTCTGTTGATCGGACCCAGCACTTCTTTCCGTTCCCTCAAGTCAAGGGCTAAGTATTCAGTAACTAGTCAGTAACTAGAAGGTTTTGTAACTAGTGGGCCTCATAACTACCCCTATCTTTCTTTCTTCCCCTCTTAGCGCTGCTCTTTCTGTCTTTCTTTCCTTTTGTTTCTAAGGCTTTTTAGGTGACTATTTAGTTGTCTCACATGCGCGCCGGAAAAGCGCCGAAGCCGGCGACCTGTGTGTGTCCACCCCTGGACAAAGGGTTTTCCACCGCTACTCCTTCCACAGTTTTTCAACCACCTTTTTCAGTCACATGCAGGGGAACTGGGCACTCTGTGACTGACCCAGTTCAACGAAGCTAGGTCACAGAGTGGGATATTCGGACTGATCATCCGAACGTACCTGCGCCAGTTTTGAACTTTTGACCAAGCCGTTCCAATCTCTCTCTTTTGCTTTCATGGTGGTTCCACGATACCTCCCCAAAACCCCCCTTGCCGCGTTTGTCTTGCAGCTCAGCCGCGCCGACCGATCGTTCAGCAGACTTGACTAACAACTTGTTGAAACACCTACAAGTCTTTCGGACTCTCCACCATGCATTTCTGTCACCTTCCTTCCCAGCGTGGTAACTGAGTTCACTGAATACAAGTGTCAGAGTGTGTCACTGGAGACGTACAGTCACTGACCATACGAACGGGGGGCTCTGGGGAGTCTTACAACATATATATATATATACTATTCTTGAGTATTTGAGCTATATATATATATTTTGAGTTGAAATAATTAGTGATCGTTTGCTGGATTGTTGACCGCAAACACCCACCTGCAAGACTCACCTGAAACAGAGGTCTGTGGATCCCTAAAGAAAGAACTCCTGCACACATCTTCAGCTCATTTCAGGTTTAAGTTTAATTCAACATTCATCTCAACTCATTTTGCCGATCTTGTTTCTTCAACCAACTCGGGCCGAAGAATGTGCTAGCGAACACTCCGCCTTTTGGCTGACTCCCGAACTGTTCACTCCTTTCGCCCCTGTCCACACGGTGAATGATCTCGTTTCTCTGCTCTTCGCGAAAGCCCAGTGGCCATCCAGATCTAAATCTTGAAGCTTCGGATGATCCGAAGACGTTTGCCCCTGCATCTCCTCGGCGAACAAATGGGGGAGCAAACGGCTATACAGTATACAGGAGATCCTCGTGGTAGCAAACGGCACACATGTCTTTTTTCCATGGTTTTGGCCTCTGGGATGAGACGTGGCGTGGCGCACCAGGTGGGAATTGAAGGTCCTATACGACCGTGAGGGCAAGGCAATGACGACCTTCTCTCAGAAAGCCTTGTTCGTATTGACCTCACCACACACTCAGTGCTTGCAGAGAGCCTTCCTTTGAGCCTGTTTGCAGGGAGTCTTCAACTCGACTCAAGCAGTAGGGTTTGGAGAAAGCCTATGGTCCAACACCAGAAGAGAAGGGCAACTGCCCCATGCATTGAATACATGAGCGGCGGACAATGGTATAGGGTTGGCCGCTATCTGTTTTGCAAGGTTTTGACCAATCAGAAATACTTAAGGCGGCTCAAGACTAAAGTACGTGTACGGAAGTTTTGTTGGATGCTCATATCTAAACATCTCTGAACAACATCACGCAACATTTGGACCTTTGTATCAATAAGCCTTGTAATGAATCCCTCCAAAACCAATCATCAAGAGCTGGTTTCGACAACTTCTCCACATCCACATTTGACCGCCCTACTCCTTCTGGGCCCTGCCACGCCTAGCTTCTGCCCCCTTTCCACCGTGGCTCTGCTTCGGAAGCCTCTTGGCACGCAAAGACGATGTGTTGCAGGTAGATGTCTGCCGCCTTGCACGACTCCGCAGACACCATACGGAACAATTATTTGTTTGTTCACCTAAGGATCGATCTGAAAAGGCCTGGTTATAAGGTCTTTTGAACGATAGATTGCTCTTAAGAATTATAATGGGTTTCCATGTGATGAGAAGAGAAGGAGGTGTGCCTTCTCTTTGCCTTGACCCCCAAAAACAACTTGACAATGCCACTCTCAGAAACGCGTGCCCACACCTGGATGCATGGTAGCTTCATGCCATGAAGATATCAAATATCAGATTCTTCCAGCCTATGAAAAGCTATCAAAACGGACCCGCAAAAACACGTCAATTCAGACTTCTTAGGGCTCAACCACCCGCAACGGCCCGGGTTTTGGTCAGAGATCTGAAACCGCCCAACCCTGTCGTCGTCGTCTTTTCCCCACCTCGGGCGAACTGGCATCGAAGAAGTCCAACCTGTTTCCGGCGACGTGGCCGACGTCGGGGTGGGAAGCAGACGCGTGAGACGCGAAGGAACGCACAAGGAGGGGGGGTGGAAGATCAGGAAGGGCGTATGGGAAAAGCACTGGGAACAGCTTATATGATTATAATGATGATGCCTCGTGGTGAGACGTGCTGCGCAAAATTGATGAGGTTGTCTGAAAAGGATAAACAACACATGGAAGACAAACATGGAACACCATTGAATCACACATCGTGGAAACTCACTTACAACTCACAGTTGTCCTCGAGGACTTGGGCCTGCATGACAAGGTACCTGGAACTAAAGGTACATGGAACTACTCGAGGACTTGAACCACAGGGCGGGGTCAAGTCAAATCAAAAACCAGGACCTTCAGAGAGCCACTCGAACAGTTGAGCAGGTGAACCTGCAATGGCTGCTGCGTTGGACCCGACCCAGTTCTTTTCAACAGCTGGCTTCTGGACACCGAAACACCTGGCTTCTGGGGTGTTGCTCGCCCAACGCGAAGATATGTGTCCGTGAGGTTTCAGAAGCCTCGCGCGTTCGCAGCATCAGAGCTGGCATCAATCAGTATGAGCTGGCCTCTTCCAAGCATCGTCGGCATCAGGTGCAGCGAAGCGGGAGGAGTCCCCATCCTTGCGGCATGGTAGTTCCCGTCGTGAAAAAGCTCGACCGAAACCAGCAACAGCCGGCGTTCAGAAGACAAAGTTTTACAGCTGGTTTCAAAAGTGGTTTCGCACCTCACCTCTTCTAGACCTACCTGGATTCCCCAAGAGGATCCAAGGGGTGGAACTTCTTGGAATTGTATACTAACGTGCGCTAAGTGCACTACATAATTCCAAGAAGTTCCACCTCTTGGATCTTGGGAAGTCCAGGTAGGTGAGGCTTACCAAAGCTTAGTTGCTCAGAATCCAAAGCGAGACTACTTACTCTCTGTTGATGTGTTGAAATGCCATGTTGTAGCCTAAATTCAAAATAAGTGTGTCTATCTTTCTTCGAATTTCAAGCTAATAATATCATATATATATATATTGTTCTTGAGTAATCTACGTAATCTACAATATGTATATATATAGTTATTTCCACATCTGCAATAGTTGCACCGAGACAGTGCAAGCACCACTGAGCACCCTGTGTTGGGGGCAAAGGTTTCCAAATGGGTGCAAGTCGAAACCTCACCCTAATTACAATCCTATGGAAGGCCAACATCCCTTCGAACCAGGAATCTGTTCATGTTCACAGATCAACCAGGGCTTTGACCCACACCAAAATTGGCCATGATGGGTCAAATTGCCTGGCGGCAGCCCGGCACTCAAAATCTCCCTCTCCTTGACGTATTCCACACGCACCTTGCGTTTGCGTGCGGTGCCCGGCGAAACAGCTGACCAGGTCTGCAAGAACCAAAAGAACAAGAGATCTGTTCAACGTCCGAAACAACACACGCCCTGAGCTTCACCATCTGGGCATACATTAAGAAGCAAAGTCTGTGACACCTTCCCATTACTGGATATTTATATATAACTTATTTGTCGTTTACAGAAATATGGTGTGCAAGGTGTTCAATGCATGTCACATGCGAACCCTCGTCTTCCCATTCTCATCTCCTCTTCGGAAGCCGTTTTTTTTGGTGCCAGGGTATGCGAAATCCATGTCTGCTCAACTCTTTGGCCCAGTGGCGGGATTCACATCCAAATCCATGGGCTCCTCACCACCGCTGGGCTCGGAGTTCTCCCGTTCTCCCTCGCCCGGAGGGCCCGGAGGACCGGCGGCCACGCCCGCGTTCCTGCAGCTCGACCGGCTCAACCGGCTGGCGTCCGTTGCTCCGCGCAAGGTGGAGATCACCGGACTCCGTGGGACATGCCGGTGACGCGGGTTCCGAGCACGGGGCATCTCCAAGAATCCATGGGACTGGAATGATGACCGGCCCTACGTGGAAAACCCTCACAACATCTCAAAACCACCCCACGGACTGTCCGGCAAAGGTTCGAAAACCACTGCGGACTGTCTGGCAACCAGAGACAAACATCATTATACCCAGACACTCCATGTATGCCATATATACCTACATTGACCCCCAAAACCACCCCAATGTAGGTAAATATGCCAAACATGGAGTGTCTGGGAGATATTGCATAATATATGATCCTCATCTTTTCCAAGCCTCCCACATGTTTCTGCTGAATAGGCACCCGTCCCAAACCATCGACAGGTCACGTCCTAAGGTCTGAACTCCAAAGGTCTCATCGGACATCTACGGTGTGGGCACCCTCCCTGGGTCTTCGGTTCGGGGCGGACCTCTCCCCTCCCAAACAGCTCCCAGGAAAGCCAAAGGTTTCGTCCTACGGCCAAGTCTACGTTTCCACAGTGTGAGCCTCCGACACACATGCGCTGCACCTTTGCCTACGGAGAAGCCAAAGAACGTGACGTTCTGGTTTCTTCTCCATCTGCCAAGGCCGAATTGGTTTGATCAACTGCAACGTCCAAGCGTCTGCTTCGCGACGCGCTTGTCGAATTCCTCGAAGTCAGGGCGAAGCCTGAGTCGGCTATGCCCTGCCACCCTTCCATAGCTACCACTGGTAGGCTACCACGATCGTCCCTCTGAGCCGGCCGAAACCGGGGGCCGGAAAGAGAAGGACCCGTTTGGATCCCGAATCCATATGGAACATGGAAAATATTGACCTACTTTTAACTCTTAACCCTTAAAACATCTGAAAGCCACCCCAAATGTCTTCAGAATCATTTCATACATTTCATTCCATACATTTGGTCAATCTTGTCTGGGGATGGTCTTGGATGTTGCTGTCTGATGGATGAAAGGCCCAGCTTTTCGATGAAAACATGATGTGTTTCTATCACAACTGAAGCACTCAATCTGACAGCACTCGGTGTCATCCCACCTCCAAAAGTTGACGAGTCATGACTCGAGGGATGGCGGATGATGGCGGATGGTCATGGTGGATGGTCTTCCCCTTTGAGGGATACACCGAATAGGGCCGAATAGGGCTTCATTCATTGATCTTCAATCCATTCTTCCACTGGACATCAAAGGTCCTCACTCGTCACCCACAACTCGGTGTCATGTCATGTACACTTAGGAACCCACCAAAGAAACAGCAGCCAGCTGTGTCAGAAGACGGAGTCTGAAGGGACAAACATCAGATAAAACGAGGGTCAGAGTGGGAACTCTTATACAGTCTCCATGCTGACTTGCGGTTTCCATGCTCATTGGATCTTTCAACCCAGGTTCCACCGTTCCACGGTTCCACCGCAAGGCACTGGTTCACTGCGCGGATGGGCGTCAAGGTCATTCGGCCCTGGCGCAGCACGCCCACCGCGTAGCTGCACGCGGGGTTCACCACCACGGTGGAATTCCTCGGGACTCGCCGCGGTTCGTCGCGGTGCGTCGCGGCGAAAGGATTGGAGTCTCTCCCAGACAGGTCGTGTCTGGGTCTGGCATTGCTGAGCTTCAAAGTGTGTCGCTGCTCGTAGGTTTTCTCGGGCATGACCACTTCCTCGTCTTGAAAGTGGTCATTCTGGTTGAGTTTGTACCTGAGGCATCCGGGAACACATGACAGGTGAAAATTGGGAAGGATCACATCATCATGAATCTGGTCCTACCCGGTCCTACCCTGGAAGATCAAAGCATAGGTTGTCAAAGCTGACACCCTTGCATTGCCCAGTGCGGAACTGCCATCACCCTGAGACGAACATCTGCTACATCCTGCAGAGCAGAGCAGTGCTTCCTGTCAGGTTGAGAAGGCTCCAACAAAATTTGTTCGTCCCCCAACACACAACCCTGACACACTCAACATCAACAAATAGACTATAATTAGTTAACAATTTCAACATATCCTGTATACATCTGTATACATGACTTATACGTATATATATATACATGTTTAGACATTATAAGCAACATGAAGCAACAAACAACATGTTACGCGCGAGGACTTTTCCATCATCTTCCATCTGTAAATCAACTCCCCAATCAACTAGACGACAGGGTGGCCCGAAAGCAAGTAGGCGGAAGAGAACAAATAGAAGGGAAGAAAAGCGAAGTAACAGAAGATGAATGAGCACTAAAGAAATGAAGAGATGATATATGATGATTCAAAACATTAAGATGAAACAAAATGAGATGATGATGAGATGACACAATATATAATATATATATATATATCTATATATATATATACATTATGATTATGATACTATTATCACGTTATTACCAAATCTATTAATGTATATTCTGTTGCACTGTACTTCGGAGCCCAAACGGTAGTCCCGGTCGATTCTTTTTTATCCAGCGCCGGTCGAGCTCAAACGCTAGTCCCGGTAGTAAGAGCCGCCGAAGTGTGCGAAATCGCACGTCCCAACCTGGCATCAGGACAACCAATGCTCATACAAATGCAACACTTGAAAAACAAAACAAATTACCCACAGTTCAACTCATGTTGTTTTGTCGGTTATCAGATATAGTTGCACACCCAGTCGGAACAGGATCGACTTCGAACAACTCTCGGTCGTGGATCTCGCGCCTTGTGGAGTCTCTGCACGTTCAGCTGGAACAAGGGTCGACTTCGGACAACTTCCGGTCGTGGACCCAGGTCCTTCTAATCAGTTTGGTCACGACACTTTGCAATAGCCAATTCACAGCTTTTCGCCGATACTTGTAACTTCGTGGCTGGTGACTATATGTGGCATCGACATGCCGGCGATTCGAAAAGTTACAGAACCGGATGAGCACATGCACTCCCTAACCTCATATCATGTCATACTATTGATGAATGTGTACAAACAAAAGTGTATAGCAGTGAAAAGATACACTACTATAGGCCTCGGACAAACAAATTGAAACGACAACGCATAAAGAATACTTGTTACATACGAATCATCACATCGTGTCCTGTCATGTTGTCTCTAAAACTGACAGCCAGGGGTCCAAGGATGGAGACATTGCTGGTAACAACTGATCCACCAGCTCTGCCTTCGTCAACATGCTTGTAGAATTCGCACGTCGACGGGAAAGACCCAACGATGTACAAAGCTGACGAAGTTCGCTGGTGCTCTTTCCCTCGAGCTGTGACTGCAGCCATTCCCGTCCCTTGACAGCAGATTCCGTCTGCAGAACTTGGATGAGCTGCTCAATGTCACTCACTGCAGGTTGCGACGATTCCTGAGTATGGGGCTCCATCTAAAATGAGCAAAGCCAGTCGAAACGTTGCAGAACCGGATGAACACATGCATTCCCGAACCTCCTGTTATGTCATACTGTCGAAGAACCTGAAACGTACAACGTTCTCACAAAAAATATGCCCATCCAACATTTATATCTCATGTGTACTGACAACATTTACGTGTCGCGTGCACAGACAAAAGTGCATATCAATAAAAACAAATATTTCTATAGAATACTTGTCACATACGAATCATCACATTATGTCATGTCATCAAACTGGCAGCCACGGGTCCAAAGATGGAGACAATGCCGGCAACAATTGCTCCACCAACTCTGCCTTCGTCAACATACTTGTAGAGTTCGCACGTCGGTGGGAAAGACCCAATTGCGTACAAAGCTTGCGCAATTCGTCTCTGTCCTTTCCCTCGAGTTGTGACTGCAACCATTCCCGTCCCTTGACAGCAGCTTCTGTCTGGAGAACTTGGACGAGCTGCTCAATGTCACCCGCTGAAGGTTGTGATGAATCCTGAGCATGGCGCTGGCCGTGATCCCATCAATGTGATTAACGATCCACTCTTTACATATACACGTGCACGTATTCCCGTGTATCCACCGGAAAAAAAATTGTAGCTTGACGACGTAGGCAAATCACAACATCTGCCACCAAGCTTCTGCAGGTGTCGCCAACACCCTCACCAGCTCAAGCACTAAGTCACTCTTAGACAGTTTCACGTCAGAATCTCCAAGTCGAATTGACACACCAGCTGCTATGCACAGCTTGCGCAGCTCTTCAATGCTCTTTCCATTGAGCTGTGACTGTAACCTCTGCTGACCTCCAGTCTCGCATTCCATCCGCAGATTTTGCAAAGCCCGCTGCAGCGGAAGGCGAACACTGGAGGAAGAAGACGAAGCCATGGCTATAAAAAGCTACACAAGATTTCGAAGGTCCAACATGATTTCATACGGTTGAATTGGTTGCGCTGGCGGGATTCGAACAACTTCCGGTCTCGCGCCAACGCAACTGATCTATGTATAAAGTCGATGGTACCTACGTAAGATACGTTTGTTTCATGAGCTCCATTGATCGCACGGTTGAATTGGCTGTGCTGGCGAGATTCGCACAACTCGCGGTCTCGCGCCAACGCCACTGATCTATGTATAAAGATACGTTTGGTTCATGAACCCTACCGACCACACGGATCGGATTCTGCCGACCGTCGATCGAGAATAAGCGAGTCCACTTGCCTTCGAGCCATACGACACAAAGGTCAATGATGCTGATCATGTTAAAAGCTGTCACCGTCATGATGATGCCAACAAAGGAAAAATTCAAGCAGCTGTAACAACAAATCTGATGCTGATCATGCTAAAGCCGTCACCGTCATGCTGATGCAAACGACGGAAAAAATCCCATCAGCTACAATAACACATCGAGTCAGCTGGGTCTATTTCAAGCCAAGTATACAAATACAACACAACCTGAAACACATGTAACTCTCATGCCGTGAAAGAAAATATGACATGACATCAAATATGAAAATATGATGTGCCATGAGATGATGATCTCACGATACGCCCGTGATATGCTATTGTGATCATGAGCTAACGATGAGGTCGATGACGATTGCAATGACGTAGCTGCTGGTAATGATGATGATGATGATGATGATGATGGTGCTGACGACGATGATGATGATAATGATGATGATGATGTGGATGATAAGGATGATGATGATGATGATGATGCTGATGATGATGATGAAGGTGATGATGATGATGATGATGATAATGATGATGATGGTGCATGTCGCCAGGCACGGTTTACACCACACGTTGTTTACGCCAGACGAAGTAACCATGGAAAAGTTTACACCAGACAAAGCCGACAAAGGTTTACACCAGAGAAGAGTTTACACCAGACATCGATTACACCAGACACCGTCTATACACCAGACACGGTTTACACCGGACGTCGTTTACACCAGACAAGGCCAACAAAGGTTTACAACAGAAAGAGTTTACAGCAGAGACAGTTTACACCAGACAGCGTTTACA